ACATATACATATACATATACATATACATATACATATACATATACATATACATCATATACATATACATACATACATACATACATACATACATACATACATATATATATATACCGTGTTTCTCATATAATAAGGCTGGGTCTTATTTTTTTTTGAGCCCCGAAAAAATGGCTAGGCTGTCTTTTTGGGGTTGACTTAATTCCCCCCCCTTGCATCTTTGGGCGGGCGGGCAGCGACGGCTTGGATGTTGACCTCGGCATTGGTGGGGCACTTCGTATCGGGGTCAACGCAGGCAGCACCATATCCGGGTGTGCAACAAAAGTACTTCCTAATGGCAAGCCCCCCCCCACCATTTCCCCCCATTTCGCATGTTTTAATATAGGCCTTAATTTGGGGGGAGGGGCTTAATTTCATTTCATGCCTATAAAACATGCTGGGACTTCCTATTGGGGGAGGCCATATTGTCTTACATGTATGGTATCCGGCTTTGTTCGGGTATTTTCCCACGTCATTATAGTTGTGCTTTTAAAGTTGTAGCAACGTTTCGGCAGAATCTCATCTGCCATCATCAGGCTTCTGTATTGTGTTCGTCTGTGAGTCAGACTTTTACAGTTGTTTCAGTTTTAAATTTGGGGCTAGCCTACTGCTGTGCCAGAATGGTTTTTTCTTCATCCTGATTGGTTGGGAGTCTTGGTCTGTGTTTATTGGTCTTGGAGTTTGCTGTGTTCTGCTTGATTGGTGTTTCTAATATCTTCTGTTTGTTTTGTGTCTTTTTTTGTGTCTTGATTGGCTGGCAACATTGTGTTCCTGTATTGGAGGCTTTTAGTGCAGCTTGGCTCCGAGTAAATGGGCGGCTATCATTTGTTAGGAAGCTAGGTTTCTTTTAACAACCGGTTTCTTCTAACAACTAGGTTATATATATCTTACAGTTTAATTTTATATTTATCCATGTAGGTAGAACTCCGCTCATATGTGAGCGAACCTGAATTGGTAACAATAGGCAGTGATCTGAGCCAATCTTCCATTGGTTTTCGTGGTACTGACAGTAGATACCAAACATTACCTACCAGAGGTGAGTCAAGAGACGATATATTTCTGTATTTTAGAAAGTCATGTTTATTATGGTTTTGCATTTCCAAATGATAATATGATTTGACACATGGTTGCTGGAGTGAAACTCCAGATACAACTTTAAAAGGGCAAGGTTTTAAGAATCAATTATATGTATTTAAATAAATATATGCATAAATCCTGTTCCTGAAACACTAAACTATGAAATTCAGATTACAGCATCTGAATTATCATAAGAATAGTGATCCCTGGTTTCCGGTTTGTCGGCTTCGCGAGCGGTAGGGATTCGCGAAGCTGCGCGATCCCTGCCGCGCTAGCCGTTTTGGGGCTCCGACCCGGACGGGTGCGGAGCAAGGCTGCCCTGCAGGGGTAGCTGAAGGTAAGGGGGATCCGGAGGAAGGGTTTGGGGGTGTTGCAGACCCCCTCCCTGGCCGGCAGAACCCCCTTTTACCAGGACGGTGCAGCGGCGGTCCGTAATGGCCGCCACAAAGAAGTTGACAGCCGGGCAAGTATGCGCAGGAGGAAGAAGAGAAAGTTATTGAAAGTGAAAGTTCTTCTTGGTTTACCCAGGGCTTTGAGATTTATCTAATTTAATTCCTGGAAAAGATGGTTTTTTGATGATTTTTTCCACAAGAGAAAAAAAAAAGCGGCTATTTTGAGGTGCTGAAGGGAAAGTTTACTCTCCCTCCCGACGGAATTAAGCCGGAAGGGAGAGGATAAAGAAAATATATAAATTTGGATCTTGTTGGAGGAGATGCCTTGAAGACTTGAGGACAGAAATATAATCTTAATAAGGCTTTAAAATATAGATTTGGACTCTTTTTTTTTTTATTTGTTTGATACCACCCCTGGAAGAGGAAGGGGGAATTTTGGCTTGCTTGGATTTATTGAGGATTGTGGATTTTGGGATTGTTTTGCCTTTCTCTCGGAATATTTGGTTGGTGTAAGAAGGAAGAGGAATAAAGAAAAGAAAAGATTTATTTATAATGGCTTTCCTTTTTGAAGACCTGAGGGATGAATATGAGCAAACAAAAGCAGCCTGCAAAGATGGCATGGAAAAAGCTTTTCTATTTCTAGAAATGGCGCTGGTCAATTACCAACAGACAATGGAACAGATGGAAACGGAAGAAGAACAACAAGGAAGAGACGAAGACGCCATCTTCATTGAATCCCAAAACTTATCTAAGGAAGAAGGAAGGAAGAGAGCAAGGAAAATGAAGGACTTAAGATTTAAAAAAACATTTGAGAAAGAGAAAAATATGATGCAAAATAAATATAATGATAACAAACAAGAGAAAAAGGGAACACAACAGAGAAGGGATCCCAGCAAGGCAGAGGTTAGAAGAAGAAGGGGGGGTAGGAAGATTTGGTGGGGGAAGAAAGAAAGGGGAAAGGCGGAGAAAAGCCTCAAAGCTTTAAAATTGGATGGGAGAAGAGGGATTTTTTTTAGAGACAAAGGATGAAATATAAATTTCTGTAAGAAAGATTCTGCTAAGGTACAGAAGATGGTATTGTAACATTTATATTTGAAATAGTAAATTAGAATGGTTTAAGATTGAATAAGAAATTAAAATGTTGAAGTTTAAAATTGAAATGTTGAAGTTTTTAATAATCATTGATTTAATAATGATTGATTTTTGAAATGTAATAAAATATCGAAGGAAAGGAGGATACAATGTATTTAAACATTTTTGGTGGATAGAATGTACCAAGCAGAACCAAATTGGGTATTTGTTATGTTGAATTTTAATTTTACTAACTTAGGGGGAGGATAGAAAGGCATCATACTCTGATTAGTGATTTCAGGAGAAATTCTTTTTATTATAAGAAGAGATAGAGGGATAATGAATGGGCAAAAGATACAAATTTAATGATTTAATTAAAATGGATTAAATAAGATAGAATTGTGAAGAGTGATATGCGCTATTATTTTAGCCCATGCAAAGAGAGGTAACTGGGGCCAAGGTACTTTACTAAAAGATTTTTTTATGTTTGTTTGTGTTTGTTTGTGTTTTATGAGAATATTGGGGAAATTATTGTAGAAAGACAGGGAAAGATTTAATATGTAATGATTTGTTTGTTGTTGAAACTTTTAATAAAACTTGTTTAAAAAAAAAAAAAAAAGAATAGTGATCCCTATTTTATTAAACTCTTAATGAATATAGTTCAATGAAGAATTGAGTAAGACATTTAGATGTCTCAATTATAGCACATACAGTGTTATGGAAGAAAGGAAGGAAGGAAACGCAGGAACAGAAAGGTCCACATTTTTTCTCCAACTTTTGGTTTTAAAGACTCTCCACATTTGTATTGATTATTTTAAAAAAGTTATCACAAAACGTAGATTTAACAAATGCCAATTGGACTTTTTTTCTAAGTAGAGATTTTCCACCTTTTTTAAAGGATTGTCTGGTTCAACTTCTAGACTCCATCAGTCATCAACAGTTTCATCATATTCAACGCTTCGAAGGGATGCTTCCAAGGTAAAATATTTTTAATTAGGATGCCATTTGTTTTGAACAACACTTTAGTAGTGTCATTTTGCTTTAGCATTTGATAATCCTTTGGAGTTTAAAATTATTCAACTACAAGGGTCATTCAGATGATGAGTGCTTTCAGGTTGTTGGCCTACCACATTTACAGGTTTTATAGGGTTAGGGATCTGGACAATGTTGCTTCCCATTTGAAATTTCCCCATATTTTCCCATTGCTTCTTTCCTTTCTATTAGAAAAATTAAGGAGGGGATGACAGAATTTCTGTCTATTATCATTTGGAATTGTAGCTCTATGTAGTAACCATCTATCTGGAAGCAGGTTTTAATTAAATCTGGGTTTAATTACAGCTCAAGATAAGTTTGTGGATATAGATCTCACTTTAGGTTAGTTTAGTTGAGGGGTGGGATTTTACCAGTTTGTACCTATTTGGTAGAACCGGTTGTTAACATTCTAAGCAGTTTGGAGAACCGGTTGTTAGAAGAAATTAACATGAGTCCGTATTGCTGGAAGTGTAGGAAAAAAGAAGGAACCTTTTTCCATATGTGGTGGTCTTGTACAGAAACCCAAAAGTACTGGAAGAAAATCAAAACTTGGTTGGAAGAAATTACAAAAGAGCAGATCGAATACAAACCAGAGTCCTTCCTGTTAGGGATTTTTGATAAACAAATTTCTAAAAAAGCTAAATACATAACAATACACATTTTAACAGCGGCCAGATTAGCCTTTGCTCAACACTGGGAACAACATCAAATTCCATCAGATGAAATGATTATTGAAAAAATTTCAAAATGTGCAGAAATGGATAAATTGACTTTGGCGCTAAAAAACAAAGACACTTCACTATATTATGATAGCTGGAATTGTTGGTATAATTGGATTGACCAAAGATAAATTATATATCATAAGGCATAAGAGAAAAGTATTAACCTATAATAATGAGGTAGCGATATAAGTAAAGAACAGGTGTGTGTACATGACATAATTTAAGGTTATGGAAAAAGATCTTGCAAACTGTAAAAATAAGAATGCTTTTAACCTTCTCTCTTTTTTTTTCTTTTTTCCTTTTTTCTTTTTCTTTCTTTTTTCTAAATTTTTCCCTCTTTCCTTCTCTTTCTTCCTTTCTTTTCCTTTGCTTATTTGTGTATGTATTGTTGGTTGGTTTTAATTGTAAAAACTAATAAACTATATATTTTTTTAAAAAAAGAAGAAATTACTGGCCTAATCCTGCAAGGAAGGCAGGAAGGAAACATTCTGGGGTTGCTTACAGAAACTGCCTCTCCGTTAACCCTTATTACATTCTTAGCAGGACTAGACTTCCTGTCTCAGGAACGTCTCTGGAGTTTTTTCCCCCTCCTTTGTTGGTACTTTGCTTGTGTGGAGTGATCATTCAAAGTTACAATGGCCCTGAAAAAAGTGACTTATGACCATTTTTTACGCTTATGACTGTTGCAGCATCCCCACAGTCATGAGAGGCCAGGCGAGGAGATGCGTGCCTCGATGTGAGTGATATTGAGTTGGCCACGCCCACCAACTAAGCCATGCCCACAGGGACCGGTTGTTAAAAATTTGAATCCCACCCCTGGTTTAGTTGTTACAGTTTCTGTAACATAATTCTTAATTGTGTGTTCTTCTGAAAAATTAGGTACTTGCACATCATCCAAATTATGTCCATTGTCTCGAAGAAAATTATAGTCAATTTTTCTATGTTATTTGCTTCCTCCTAGAAATTTAATCAAGTATTTTTCCAAACTATACATTTTCTAAGCAAAAGTTTGTAAAGTTTGTATACTGTTTTTTTGGACAGTTTGCATTGAAAGAAAACAGTGAAAGGATAGTTCTGTCATCTTCAGCCTCTTAAACTAACATAGTTGTAGGTCAATATTGTCCATAGTAAGTTAATTAAAAAGGTAAGTAGTTTGGAATTATACTAAAACTTTTTTAATGTAATTAAAAACATGTTCTGTGTCATTTTCAAGGAAAGACCAAAGAGTGCCTTGGAACGTTTATACTCTGGAGATCCCCAAAGAGGAAAAATGAGTGCTGAAGAACAATTAGAAAGAATGAAACGACATCAAAAGGCAATCGTTCGTGAACGTAAAAGAACTCTTGGTCAAGGAGAAAGACATTCGGTTTCATCACGACCATTCATCCAGCCTGGTTCTGCAGACATAGGCTCAGTATGTTAGACATGCCTTAACAGGACTAGATAAAACAAAACGATCTGTAGCTTCTCTAGTAAGCACTTTTATTTGAGAGTGCATGTCACCTTGTATTATTTAATTATATAATGATGGTATTTCAGTAGGTAGGGTGTGCATAACAGAAAATGGCTTCTGGCTATAAATGCTGACAATTTCACATAGGAAATAGGAAACAAATTGGCGTAAGAAAAGTACAGTGAGAAAGAAAATATATATTTCAATGTAGATAATAAGTTGGTTTAATCATTTTTTTTCTTAGAAGGTTATGAAAGTAGAATACTTTTTTTCTGATTGCACCATAAATGAATGAGCCCAGTAGACAATATTAGCACAATTTAAAAAAATAGTATCTATGGTTATGTTATATAAGGACTTCATAGGTTATAATTTTAAGTTTTCAGAAATTTTATATATTAACTATTAAACATAGGAACAAATCTAATGATTTCATATAGTTGCTAATGATCATTTATGTCTAAGGTGTGAACAATATTCTAGAAAGGCTCTCCATTTGATTAGGAAAAATAATTCCAAGTTAAATATAAACTGATAATTTGTCAATTGATAATTTGATAATCAATAATTTGTCATTGTCAGTTAAGCAAATAATCATTCCCACTGCAATCATTAATATCTTACATACCCATTAAATATATTTATAATAAAGAATATTCCATCAATACTAATATAATTCATTTACAGGAAATAGCTGTAATCCATAGACATGATCTATTTATTCAGAAGAGACAATTCAATTTAAAATAACTGGGGCTGCTTTTTTAAATTGCCAAATAAAGGGTGTGTTGTTAGTCTTAGAAATGGCCACTGTCAGTGACAGACACAGTGAATGAAGGTGCCAGTTTCATTCAGTTATCAAACTTTGGATAGCAAAATTTAGGATTAGGTTACCAAGATGTTTTCCTAAATAAAGGAATGAGCTCAGATAAATTCAGTGGAATTAGTTTCCTGTACTGTCCTCAAATCACAGCACATCTCCATTTTTAAAAATAATTTGGAGTTACAGAAAATAAAGTCAATTTAAACTTGAAATAAAGCAATCCAGTTATAACCATAAATGAAAAATACTGCAAAAATGTAAGTTTTACTTTTTAAGATAGCTCTAGGAGTTTAAAATTTAATAGGTCATGTTTTTTAGGATTATGAAAACATTTGGAGATAGTTGAATTAGGCTGTTATTGCAAAAGCAACAAAAACTTGCAGATTTATTATGATAAGCTTTTGGGGGTTAAAGGAGAGTCCATTAAATACATAATCATCTAAGAATCAAGCTAAATAATGAGAATGTATTCAATGACTAAGTATAAGAATGTATCCAGTATATCAGATTTTGATTATTTACGTAAGAGATGCATGACAGAAAGAAATCAGGATCTGATCATTCCAATAGTGCCCTGTCCTAACACATCTAATTCTGGGTATGGGCACACATGCATGCATACACACATGTACAAAATTGAGGTTAGTTTGGCACTAATAAACAACTCTTCTGAACATATTTTTAAAGAAATCGAATGACTCTGTGGAAGTGCAGATGGCTTATCTTCTGCCCTTTAGATATAGTTATATGGATAAATAATGGCTCACACTGCATGGTTCCACGATATTAGGAATATTATCCATGATAATCTCAGAATCTCTATTGTCCCCCATCTTCAAATAAAACCTCTCCTTTTGTTAGTAGGAAACGTCATTTTATATCCTTGGTTTTTGCTTTTAAGATACCGGTAGTTCCATTCCCTGTTTTATGTAAGAACAAACTCTGAATGTTATATGACGAACTCTGAATGTTTCTCACATAATCAGCCTAAATCAAACCACTGCAGATGAAAACCTTTTCATTTAATGTTGTAAACCTGTTGCAACTTTAAGACCTGTGGACTTCAACTCCCAGAATTGGCTGGGAGATTTCTGGGAGTTGAAGTCCACAAGTCTTACAGTTGCCAAGGTTAGACATCCCTGTTGTAGACATAGTCTGCCCTGCTGATCCAATAGGGAACATACAGTAGATAGATGTCAATTTCCCAAGAGAAAATGTCAAATAGTCATTTTGACAGTTTCCATGCCTTGTCACCTTGTAGTGGGGGATAGGCAATATAAAAATTTAATAATAAATAAATAAAATGCCTATAAAGGCTAGAACCTGAGTCTGCTCAATTCTAGTCTAGCCCCAATACCTTACTGGCTCCCATTCATTCATAACTTACTTAAAAGTCTGACACTTTGAAGAGGGAAAAAACTTAACTGGTCTCATTCTTTTTTTTAAAGTAAGCAAATAATGTTATTCTTTTCCCTCACTGTTTGTAAGATAGGTCGTGATACGTGAAAGTTAATCTTCAAAGTACCACAGGACTTTTTCTTATTTAGGGTTTTCAAAACTGAGGGTTTATGCAATCACTGTTTTGTCTTTTCCTTTTGGCACACTAGAATTATTTATGCTCATCACCTGCCTAATTCATTGCACAAGACCTCTTGCTTTTAAAGTCACTCATCCTACATAATTTTTTTTAAGTTTCTAATTATTTAAAACTATTTCTGACTAAACTCAGTTTCTGCCAGGCTTAATTGCATTTTAGTATCCTTTTTGTTAAATTTCTAATTTTGTTGGCGGTTATTGACTTTTCACCTTTGTGTTCCCATTTTAAATAGCTGTTTGGTTGCATTAATTTATAAGGCATTCATGAGCCATTAATGTAATAAGTAATTATGTAAACACTTAAGGGAAACTGGTGCATTCAGATATTTATCTTTGCAGTTATATTTTTTTAAGAAATGGTATTAAAACATAAGGAAAAAATAAAGCCCTGCCATATTACATATTTAAGTAGCAAAATTTGAACCTGACTTTTTTTTAAAAAAACATAGCTCTCAAATTTGTATTAATTTCTAATACAAACATTTCATAATATTTAACAATTGAAACAACGTAGCATATTTTCATACCATGTTGGTCTTCATTTTTGCTGTAAAAATCAAAAATAGCACAGCCCAGGAAGAAACATATCATTTACCCAAAGGGCTCCGGTGCACAAAACGTAATGTTTGAAAGCACAATTTACAGCACTACAATAACTTAGCAACCAAAATGGTAAAAATGAAATATGTAATTAGATTGCACAGTTTGTAATGTTATATAAATTGTATGTGTAAATCTACTTTTAATACAGTGCACTGATATTTTTTTAAAAGATCAATTTTTAAATGTAGTATGACATTAAAATATTGAGCAGAATACTTGGATTGTCATTTGATTTTGATGCAAAGGACTCCGTATCAACAACAATAAAAATGCTTCCTAATATTGAATTCATGTATTTCTTCTAGTATAACTTGTAGGTTAATTTTGCCTTATATTACATGTATGGATGCAATCAGGCCTGGCTTGAATATTGAGTAGGCATTTGGTTACAGTGTGTGCTTTAATTGTGAGAATGATTGAACTTTTCTCGCAGAAATCCCTCCATTTTTAAAGTCTGCAATTTTAATTTGTGCAGTTACCTTCAAATTAAGTAGATGCTCCTATTCCTAACAAATACAAATTTGTTAGGTACGTTTTGAGTGAAAAATCAAAAGCTTGTGCATGAATAATATATTTCCCCCCCAAAATATCTTAGACTGGTTCTACAAAGTTGTTGCCCGTAATAAATAGGAGAAAGTAACCTCCACTGTATGTCTCTTGTATTTTCTGCACTGTTCTCAGTACCTAACAGAGATTTAAGTGAGCTACAGAAGAAAGGAGGAGTCAATCAAAATAAATTCCCCTTTTTCATCCAGTGGAGAAATCCTGAGTGGAGTTCTGTCCTTGGATATTCAATATACAAACAGTGTTGAACCAAAAGGTTGGGAGCAGAGGTCTGGGATCTGGTCTTCTATTGTGCAAATAAACATCTAATATAGTAACACACTTTAATGTGATCACTGAAATAGGAATATTCATGCAGTTTGAGTGCTACACCCTTTATGACAAGTGGGACAGAACATCTAAGATAACCTTTATTGTCATTTTTTACTGTGAGCAACTGGCCCACATTAAAAATGAAATTCTGTTGCCTGCTGACAAAAGAAAGCCTATAGCTACCCATATGCTTACATAAAACACACACACATGTACACACGCACATCTACACCCATACATAGCTATACATATCCTATGCACTCTTGGGATCTTTGACAACTCTACTGCAAAGTTGTCAAATTTGATTTCATTGAGGGCCGCATGTGTTTGACCTCAGGGGGCTGGGGGCTGGGGTGGGAGAGGCCAGGGTAGGTGTTGCCGTGGCAGGCATGGTCAGCTCGATGTCACTCATGTCGGGGGCATCAGTGGTGGCCACATGCTAAGGCAGGACTTCCCTGAGATCCTCCCTCACTCTCATTATAATCTCCTTCCTTCTTTCCTCCTTTTTCCTTCCTCTTCATTCTCCTTCCTTCCCCTCTTCTCCTATTTTACTTCCTTCCTCTCTTCCCATCTTTTTCTTTGTCTTTCCTCTTTCCCTTTCTCCTTTCCTGTCCCTTCTTGCATACTCAAATGCAAAAGGAAAAACATTTGTTCTTTTGTTTTGTTTTTAGTTTGTTTTGCTAGCCCTCTACCAGCGAAAACAGAGCTTGCAAACCCCCCCCCCCGGGCCCATTTTTGGCCACGTTGGCATCCTGCAGCCCCATTTTTACTGGCAGAGGACTTTCAACCATCATGGCCGAAAATGGAGCCCCAGGCGGGCCACACGCAGCCCCCCAAGCTCTGTTTTTGCTAGCAGAGGTACTGTGGGCTGGTTCTTTGCAATTTCCAGGGTGGCCTCACAGGTCAGATCTAAGCAGCCCATGGGCTGGATCCAGCCCACGGGCCTTGAGTGTGACACCCCTGTTCTACTGCATATAGACCTTTACAAGATTATATTTTCTTTTTCTTTGGAACAAGCATTCTGAAACTCTTTCAGAAGTTCTCATGATAAAAGTCTTGTTTGAACAATACAGTGTCCAGCCATCCAGCCTCATAGGGCACATTTTCTGTGATCTATGGATTGAAATAATGCAGCTGAATGGGAAAATACATTTATCACACGTGCACATTATATTTCAGACTTTCATGTTATAGTCAAAAGATACCCGTGCAACACTTGTAAATAAATGAAATACGTTATTACTGTATGAGTGTTGTACAGTTAGCTTATCTTAGTTGGAGGATGGCTTAATAGGACACCTGAAACTTAAGCTATTCTGATAAAAAGATGGAAGCAATTAATACATTTAATGTATATTATTTATGGTAATTCTGAACATTATTTCTATCATATTTTGAAAGTATTTAGTGACTCTGAAAGCAAGTTTACAATGTGCTAAAGTTCTACCTCTCTTGAAAAAGCTAAAAAACAGTCCTAGATTAGCATGGAGTGCCTGTAAATCAGGGGTCCCCAACCGCCGGTCCGCGGACCGGTACCGGGCCGCGGAACAAGCCTTACCGGGCCGCTGGTTGCTGGGCGCCGCCATCTTTTTCGTCAAAAAAAGATGGCGGCGCCCAGTTGATGCCGGTACCAGGCCGCGGCGCCCAGCTGATGCCGGAACCGGGCCGCGGCATCGAAAAGGTTGGGGATCACTGCTGTAAATAATAAGAAACATAAAAAGTAGTGATCTATATTATTTGATTTTAGTAGGTAGATAGTTATCTAAATCACATCATATCTGAAGTAAAAATACAATCCAAAATACTGGTTTGAAATGTTGATGGGCTTCATAATTTTTTTAAGTCATTTAATAGAATAACAACAGTTCTGAGATGGATGGCTTGCATGAATTACAGATTTTCTACAAGCAGCAGTTATTTAATTAGTCCTTTCTAAATGAGTCTTTGCAAGAAAGCTCTTACTTCCTAGTTTTAACTGGAAACTTTCCAATTCTAATTTCATTAGAACTTAGTTTCAGCTAAGTTTTTTTTTTTTTGTTGCCCAGAGGAAATTGAGTCTAATTTTGTTGTTTAGAGACTCTTGATTCATTCCCTTCTATCATAGGAAACCAGACGATTTTTCTGCCTTTTGATCACAACTTACTAATTCTCAGGATGACTTTCTTTTTATTATTTTATTTAGTGTTTTAAGTGCCCTGTTTATTTCAAAGATCTCTTTTTTAATGATGTGGTTTTGCTTGTCTGCTATCATCTTTCACCGCAGGCATGTAAAAATAACATCTAGCCATGACTGACACAAAGGTAAGATTGCTTTTATTGTGATTGGCAAGACGTCATTATGTGAACAAACCAATCTACCCTTAGAAACAGGTGAAGCATTTCAGTGCTTTCTATGTATTTGTATTTGGTATGATACACATTTATGCCAACTTAAATAAATTCTTAAAAGGGGATTCCACAGCATTTCTTTACCACTTTTCGGCTTGATCCACAATTTTCAGTAATTTAGGTAGGATATTTTGTTCTTAGGATAAGAATACATAGCTTCATTTTTCCTCTCCCAATTTCCTTAAGTTCCCTCCAAAAAAATTGTGAACAGGTCAAGACATAACAAAACCCATGATATATATGTCCCAGAAAAAAAATCTAAAAAGTAAAAAGAGGCTTTCTTTTTTGCTTCTTCTCTATGCCCTGAACTCTTTAGTCCCATTCAGCATATTTTAGTTCTATGGTCATATGATCTTTCACAACTTTTGCTTATTCTCTTTGTTTGATAAGACTAAGACTTAATGAAATTTAAACAGTCCTTATTGGAATGGAGGCATGTATTAATTAATTCAAAAGTGCTTTATAATAAACGATCTAACAATTTCAGTTGTCCCCTTAATCTATTCTAAACTTCTGTAGTTCAAACCCTTTTAGGCTGCTGTTTGAAGACCTCTGTAGTTTTTAATTTTTTATATAATCTAGATAGTAAGTAGAATTTTAAGCAAACCCAGTGTCTTTAAAATAGGCTGTGCATGAGACTGTCAGCTTGATATTTCTTCCTCTGCTCCTGGTGCTCTACTTGTGAGTTTCCCACAGGTTCCCTCTGGTTCTTGAAGATTTCCTTGCCTGGGGATGCTTTCGGAAGTACAAATAAGTGATTCTCAAAGCTTTTAGTTGCCCAGAGAAGTTCCATTGACCCAGGCAGACCACCTGTCTGCCAGTGTCTGTCTTAGCTGTGTCTCTGCTTTTCAGACATATGTTAGTTTGCCAGCTGAAGAGCCCAGGTGGCACAGTGGTTAGAATGCAGAATTGCAGGCTAACTCTGCCCACAGCCTGGAGTTCGATCCTGAAGGGCTTGAGGTTGACTCAGCCTTCCATCCTTCTGAGGCTGGTAAAATGAGGACCTGGATTGTTGGGGGGGCAATAGGCTGACTCTGTAACTGCTCAGAGATGGCTGTAAAGTACTATGGAGTGGCATATAAATCTAAGTGCTCTTGCTCTTGCTGTTTTCTCCACTTGGGAATCTCAAAAATTCATTTGTTTTCTTAACTACAGTTTAAATGAAGTTAATATGGTTACTTTCTGTTTCATTAACTTTAAGAATTACATGATAATAACTTTTGGAGCTCTTGGGGTTACTACATCTGATCCAATTGTAGGTTGTGTGTCTCTCATAGGCAAAGACCTACTGCATTTCCCTTATATATCACATTTTGGAAGAACTTTCTCCAAGGAATACACTTTTGTTCCTGGTCCAATAGATTATAGATAAATCTAATTACCTCAGACTCCTAACATGTAAAGTCAGACTCTAGAATCTTCTATCCACTTTCCCATTTATTCCCATTTATTTGTATCCATTTCATGTATTAATAATCATGTTTATACTTATATCTATTATCTATACATGCTCAACAAAATAAATAAATAAATAAATAAATTAGATTAATCTCTACTGGTTGGAAATGTAGCAGATTTCATCAGGGTAGACATCAAGTGAGAATCCAGGATTAAATTCAATGGTAGCCCTTGGTTTCCATTTTAGCTATTCGAAGGTTGAGGTAATGATAAACATTTGCTAATTTATTACTCACAATGGTAAAACATGTCATTGTTTCCTGTCTGTTACTAGTGGAAGCGGGAGCAAGAATTTGACTTGCAGTTATTGGAAAGAGCAATGCGCACAGAACAAAAAATGGGAGATAATTGGTTAAAAATCGACCCTGTGACAGTAACGGAGACAGATATAGAGCCCGAAGATTACAAGTTGGATATTAGCAAAGAGGTAAGGCTAATTGTTGGCATTGCCTTGCATTCTTGTACTCTCTGAGGGAGAAGGGCAGGGGTTAGACGTATGAAATACAAGTAAATACATTCACTATTTTTCAAGTTTAACATACTATTTTTCCTTCCATTTGTTTTTGTTTTTAGTGTTAATCAATACTTTTCAGCAAGTTTTTAATTTAAGCAAAGCAGGATTGTTTTCTGAGGCATGTACAGGGACCTTCTTTTTGGCATGTGTCTAGTAGCAAGAAAGCCATGTTAGGAAAGTGACTAAAATATTTGAATCTGAAAAGGAAAAATGCATAATTATAGAGAGAATTAGCCCACACATCCTGTAGAGTTACAAGGATCTCCCAGCTGTCATCAGAAGGACATAAGCAGTATCACCTCACAGGCTCAACCCCTTTTTCATGTCATTCTCACAGGCAAAAATTATGTTGGACATCGCTTGCATTACTCTGATTCTCCCTTCCTTTGCTGTGAACACCAATGCTTACTACAGTATTAAAACAGAGTGAATAAATTTAAAAAAACAAAAACAAAAATGCTATTTGTCACAACTTTACAGAATGGTAAAGTTGTACTGTTTTCTCCAGTAATGGGAAGAAGCAGACCGAAGTAGATCCCAATCAAAATTGTTCATCAAAGTTTTTACAGTGTTGTTCATCAAAGGAGTAGCGTCACTCCTGAGGGATTCTTTTTAGATTCACAGCTACTGCAACGTGGGTAGGTGGAGGCTGTTGCCAGAAGCAACTTTACCCAACTGGTTGGTGTGTTGTGGCTTTACAAGGAGGAGGAGGAGGAGGTGGAGGATTTCTCTGTGGTAACTTTTGCTCTTGTCGTTTCCTAGATGGACAGCTGTAATTGCTCTTTAGAAAGCTAACTTTAAACACCACTCAGAAACTGCACTTGGTACAAAATGTAGGGGCCCACCTAATTAGCATTAAATCATCATTTAACGACCCCATAATCCTTTGCAGGGTGAAGTCTGGGAAACTGAATGGAGCTGAGTGTTTACTAGCCGGACATTCCTGTCACCAATGTGGAGGTTTTTTTCAGCAGATATATTCTCAGTGTGCCCAGAGAGAGAAATATTTGCCTCTACCTAGGATCAAACTCACAGCCTCTTGATTGTGAAGCGAGAGCTCCACCTCTAGATCACCACACCACTCTATCTAATTAGCATTAAATGCTAACAGCATATTATACATGTACTTGAGACCTTACACTGGTTGCCAGTAGGCTTCTGGATATAATTTAAATACCATAAAGCTGCATATGACTTCATTCCCTGGTACATTCAGAATTGTGCCTCCAATCAGAATCAGCCTGCCTGATTAGAATATTCCAGGAATATTCTACAGGTGAAACTCGAAAAATTAGAATATCATGCAAAAGTTCATTTATTTCAGTAATGCAACTTAAAAGGTGAAACTAATATATGAAATAGACTCATTACATGCAAAGCAAGATAGTTCAAGCCGTGATGTGTCATCATTGAGATGATTATGGCTTACAGCTCATGAAAACCCCAAATCCACAATCTCAGAAAATTAGAATATTGTGAAAAGGTTCAATATTCTAGGCTCAAAGTGTCCCACTCTAATCAGCCAATTAAGCCATAACACCTGCAAAGAGTTCCTGAGCCTTTAAATGGTCTTTCAGTCTGGTTCAGTAGGAATCACAATCATGGGAAAGACTGCTGACCTGACAGTTGTGCAGAAAACCATTACTGACACCCTCCATAAGGAGGCAAAGCCTCAAAAGGTAATTGCAAAAGAAGTTGGATGTTCCCAAAGTGCTGTATCAAAGCACATTAATAGAAAGTTATGTGGAAGGGGAAAGTGTAGAAGAAAAAGGTGCACAAGCAGCAGGGATGACAGCAGCCTGGAGAGGATTGTCAGGAAAAGGCCATTCAAAAGTGTTGGGGACTTTCACAAGGAGTGGACTGAGGCTGGAGTCAGTGCATCAAGAGCCACCACACACAGACGGATCCTGGACATGGGCTTCAAATGTCGTATTCCTTTTGTCAAGCTGCTGCTAAACAACAAACAACGTCAGAAACATCTTACCTGGGCTAAGGAAAAACAGACCTGGTCTGTTGCTCAGTGGTCCAAAGTCCTCTTTTCTGATGAGAGCAACTTTTGCATCTCATTTGGAAACCAAGGACCCAGAGTCTGGAGGAAGAATGGAGAGGCACACACTGCAAGATGCTTGAAGTCCAGTGTGAAGTTTCCACAGTCTGTGTTGATTTGGGGAGCCATGTCATTTGCTGGTGTTGGTCCACTGTGCTTCATTAAGTCCAGGGTCAGGAGATTTTGGAGCACTTCATGCTTCCTTCCACAGACGAGCTTTATGGGGATGCTGACTTCATTTTCCAGCAGGACTTGGCACCTGCCCACACTGCCAAAAGCACCAAAACCTGGTTCAACGACCGTGGGATTATTATGCTTGATTGGCCAGCAAACTCACCTGACCTGAACCCCATAGAGAATCTATGGGGCATTGCCAAGAGAAAGATGAGAGACATGAGATTGAACAATGCAGAAGAGCTGAAGGCCGCTATTGAAGCATCTTGGTCTTCCATAACACCTCAGCAGTGCCACAGGCTGATAGCTTCCATGCCACGCCGCACTGAGGCAGTAATTGCTGCAAAAGGGGCCCAAACCAAGTACTGAGTACATCTGCATGCTTATACTTTTCAGAGGTCCGATATTGTTCTATGTACAATCCTTGTTTTATTGATTGCATGTAATATTCTAATTTTCTGAGATTGTGGATTTGGGGTTTTCATGAGCTGTAAGCCATAATCATCTCAATGATGACACATCACGGCTTGAACTATCTTGCTTTGCATGTAATGAGTCTATCTCATATATTAATTTCACTTTTTAAGTTGCATTACTGAAATAAATGAACTTTTGCATGCTATTCTAATTTTTCAAGTTTCACCTGTATATTCCTGGTTGTTGCTTGTAGTTTTATATAAATTTTATATAAGTTGCTTGTAGTTTTCCTCCTCCCCTGAAATGATGAAAATGAAAAAAATGAAAAGAATATTTCTTCAGTATGAAACACCTTTACTACGGGAGCTTTTCTCGAGGGTTTTAAATGTTATTTTGAGAAAATACCATCACATAATTTGTGTAGGAGTCAATCAGATTTAAGATTGAATCCTGATTATTTTGATTATTATTTCTTGTTCCATGTTTGTTTTATGCTGCACCGTTGCAAAATGCTGAAAATCTTAGAAGTTGAAGGAAGGAAATCACCAAATGCAGAATAGCATTAGATTTTGAGGGTTTCCTTTTTCCTCCTTAACAAAGTATTTTGAAACCTACAGAGCCATCTTGTGGCCCAAAAGAAGAATATTTTATTTTACTGAAAGATTTAAAAAACAGTGTAAATGGCCAGATTAAGACAAACTAACAAATAAAACGACTTCATTAATTCTAGAAATGCCAGCTTGGGTTTGGAATTTTTATCTATATCTGAAGTTGAACTCCTGAAGATTAAAAAAGAACCTGAAAAGGTTTCTTGATAACAAGAGAGAAATTCTTCTTCTTCTTAAGTTGACTTCTCAAAGTCTCATTATATAGCAACTATACGGAAGCATTTCCCTGAGATTTTTCTCATTAGTATTGTTTGTACATTCCTTTTAGAAAATTACCCTAATTGTGATAAAAAGAAGGCATCAGACAAATCTGTCTGTACATTCTTTTTGTTCCTTTTGTGTATTTGCACATAATTTTTTTAATGTTTTGTATGTAGTATAGTAAACATTTATTATTATTATTATTATTATTATTATTATTATTATTATTGTTATTGTTATTGTTATTGTTATTGTTATTATTATTATTATTATTATTATTATTATTATTATTATTATTATTATTATTATTATTATTATTATTATTAAAAAACCATCTCCCCAGTTGTCAAAGCCAGACAAGGTTGCCATTCCAGAACGGTACATTGAGATGGATCCTGAAGACCCCCTCACTCCTGAAGAATTGGAAGCAAGACATCGTAAGGCAGAAAAAATTAAGCATATTCTTACCAGATCAAGGTAAGGCTTTGTGCATGATTCTTCTTTTTATCTATATATATAAAAGTGAAATACCACTCACACATCATCACAAAAATCTCCAGAACTGTAAAGCCTACAAACTTGAAATTTGGCACGTATGTTCCTCTTGGCTTCTAGGTGCTCACTAAGAAAGGATTTTTCAAAATGACCATCAGAGCATTAGTATTTCATATATTATTATTAACATGCTCTAATGCTAAGGAGCTCTACTCCCCCTCCCCACCTGAAAAGAAATCTGGTCCAAATGCAAAACACAAGCAGAGGAGAGGAGTTTCAGTTTTAGTTTCAGAGCACTAAGCAGCTTTAGTACAGAACAGTTGAGCTAAGCCACGCCCAGGATCCTTGCTGTCTCCTTCTTGCTCACACAGCAAATACTGTTTCAGTTTCCAAACAGCCCTCAACTCTCACACACTGACTGGACGCTAGCCAGATGAATACTGATGGATGCTGGTAGGCAGAGGCACATTTCCCCCCCCCCTTATTTTCCTGCCCAAAAACTAAGTCCGATCTGATAGTTTCGTAGTGAAGCACAGGTATAGAGCTAGATGATAATATATCAGGAAACATGAAAAGCCATTTTATGTACATATAACCAACTTTATTGCTTCAGTACATCTTGTAGGAAGAGGCTACTGGAACAATAAATCTTGCTTGTTTCTTGCTTCTTCCTTCCTTCCTCCCTTCTCCTATTTCTTCTACAAGAACAACCCTATGAGGCAGGCTAGCCTAAGAGAGAATTATTAGCTCAAATTCACCCAGCTGGCTTTCATTCCTAAGGCAGGACTAGAATTCCCAGTCCCCTGGTTTCTAGGCCAGCAACTTAACTGCTAGGCCAGGGGTGTCAAACTCATGTCATCAAGGCGGCGTCACGTGACAAATTGGGACTTTCCCCCCTTCGCTAAACCAGGTGTGGGCGTGGCCAGCACATGATGTATCTGGCACACGCGCCAAGAGTTTGACAGCCCTGTACTAGGCTAAATTAACTCCCATTTGTTGATTTTGTTATTTTTCTATTAGCTTCTCTGTATTTTTAATACTCTGAGTATTAATAATTGGTATTGTATTACCAATAATTGGCAATACACCAATTATATAAATAACTTGTAAAAAGTTATTATAATCCCTAGATTCATAATTTCAGGATAATCCTGAAATCTTTTTATTTCCATGTTGAACATGTATTGGAAAGTACGGCAGCACATTTTTATTTCTTTTCTTTTCTTTTTATGTTTACCCTAGTGTGCACAACCTACAGCCTCCATTTCAGGACAAATACATCTCTTCAAATTTAGATTCACAGCTACATGAGCAAGAACGCATCATTACCATATCATACGCACTGGCTTCTGAAGCCTCTCAGCGGAGCAAAGAGGTAGCAGGTACTGCTCTATTTATAAAGCAGTGGCTGTGACAATGCATTGTTTTTGTTACACTGCTACATAACGTGCATTTACACCTTTCTTCTGGGCTACTGTATGTATTGGGGCATTAAGACCATAACTTTTTATGTTATTTAGGTGTCCTAACTGGATAATTTTCATTACGGAGCTGAACCACTGGATTTGAACCATGCATTGTATTAATCAGTATTCAGTGCTGAGTATAGTTTCATCCTACTTGAGTAGGAAAAAGATGCGACACAAAAAAATTTCTACAGCAAATCTTCATCTGCTAAGGCAATGTATAGCCCGCTACATCACACATTAAGATTAAATGGACATTATTCATGCCCAAAGTTTAGAAAGATTTGCAGTCATCAACATAATAAAGATTCCAAAATATTTGGTGGAAGTTTGAAGATGGAAAATTAGTCAACAATATGTTCCTCTTAGTGCTCTGTGAACTGTTGTGCTAGTGGATTGTCTTCATACTGAAGGAAATCTTTGGCTCAGTGAAGGAGCCTTATGCCTTTGGTGAGGCTGTTTCCAAAATAATCAACATGGCATTGGATGATTGTTATTTTACGGGTGGGGTTTGCACTGAGGCCTTCGTTTTATCTTTCTATAATACCTCATCTTTTTTTTCTGTTCACATGTTCAGGCTTTTCCATCAAAATGCTGCAAAACAGATAAAAATTAAAACAGTGAATTTTGACTGATTGTACTTTTCCAAGATTTAAAATTGGACTTGGAAAATTATTTTTGAAAATTTACTCACTTAATCTTCCTAAAGCTTGATGGGTTTCAGCTAATGTTTTTTTAAATCTTCTTGGAAACTAACAGTATATACAGAAATAGCAGATGAAGTTGTTCTTGCTAAATGGTGCTTCCTTTATACTTTAATATTTCAACATGTTACTAATACAGCATGATATTTTCATTGTATATAGCAGGGCCAGTATTATCTATTGCCTGCCGAGTTAATTTTCTATTTTATTAATTGATTTCAATTTCATTTTCAATTCTATTGTTGAGCTACAGTACAAAATCACATCTACATTTATTTTGTGATGTCAGCAAATGCTCTCTGATTCTTTTGATTTTTAAAAAAATATTATATCACAAATTGGTTATTATAAAAGCCTTCTCAAAAAGTAAGTCAGCACTTCAAAATACCCATGGCAGATTCTAGCCCATTTTTAAGAAAATCAGGTTCTATACTTTTGCTAGAATTATTTCCACTAAGATATACATCTTTTGATGCAGATAAGTAGAAAGTCAATCAAGAAATCTTGGTAGAACAAAATGTCTTAGTGAAAGTGAACATATAAATTTGTTTATTCATTAGATTTACATCCCACCTTTCCTTTAAAGCTATAACAACTCTTGAAGTAAATCAGGCCAAGAGACAATTATTGGCTCAAAATCACCCAGCAAGTTTGTATGGTTGTTAGGTTGAAGCTGGCTTGGATCACCACAATATACAGATTCTCAAGAAATTCTACAATCTCACAATATGCTTTAATAGAACCTCGGTTTACACAGTTTTCCAGCGTGCTTGTTGGCACTCGGCCACACTCTGATGAATTGGAAAGTATAGTTCTTTCTTCCTTTTTGAGGAAGGCACAACAAATAAAATAATAAAATAAAAATGACTCGGTGATTTTTTTCATATTGTAGAACTAAATTTTCTTGGTATAGAAAGCACATATGGATTTGCAAACAGTATTACAATTCATACCAATGGCTGGCCCTGTTATCTTGTATTCAAGCCCATTAAGCTGTGTATATCTGTGTGTGTGTGTGTGTGTGTGTGAAAGAGGAAAAACACAAAGAGCAATTGTGGTGCCTAATTCCTTTGTATGATCCCTTCTAGCTCCTCAGTTGATTTACCCAACTAAAGCACACTCACCTTCTGTACCTCAGCCACTCCCTTTAAGCAATGGATTTCACTACACATTTGTCTAAACACCTTGAAAGTAAGAACTAACTGCTCTTGCTACCTATATTTGCCATTCATGATATGCTTTGCTGATGTTGGAGCTCTCTGTAAATGTAATAATAACTGCATGCAAACTTTAGTGATCTGGAGAATCTTTACTCCTTCAGTTAAGAAAAGTAAAAATTCTTACAAGGTATTTGCAGAAATTGTCAAGAACTGTTATGAGACTGCAAGTTGTTTTGACTTCCTTATCACTATGATGCTATTTTAAGATGAAACGTGTGCAGGTGGTTTTGTAATAGCAGCACCGCATATTGAAGATTACACCATGAAAATGGGAATTGCCGCAAGCCATGTCTCATGGAAACTGGAAAATCCTAAAATATGAAATAACATCCGAATAAATATTAAATATGTAAAATAAATGTTACATTATAAAATACATATTATTATTGGTAGCAGAAATAAAAAGAGCCTTCATTTCCCTAATGCTAGGTGATAAATTGAAGAATAGTTATGGCAATCATTATCACAGAAACAAATCCTGCCATAGTTTTGGTGGCTTGCCCTGGCAATAAATCAAGTTTGTATATAGTTTCATAGAGTTATTCTTTCTTAAAAATATATTGCCTTTTTTGAAAAGAAAATTATGCTTATTTTCTGTTCTAGGTTTTTTCTGAAGGCATGTGTTTCACATTAGAATATCAGATACATACTGAATTTTATTGCATATTGAATTTTATTCAATACAGCGCTATGGTAGAATTGAGTGAATTGCACATGCTTGGGAGATTTCTTTTTTGATTAAGACCGGTTACCAAAACAATGTTATTTTGTTTCCTGGGTTTTCTGAGAAATCTCTGTAATATATCAGGTATATAAAAAGCTGAAGAAAAGAGCAATATGCTTTATCGCTGAGTGATATGTTGATCTAATCTACCTACCCATCATAAGCCGTTCCTATTCCTAGTCCAAAATTACCTATGTGCAATAATAATTAGCTATTAACAGCAATCGGGAAATTTATGCTTTTTAGTAAAATTGCTTCATTGATATCTAATTGCATTGTGTTTTTCTTTATGCTAGCCAAAGCAGTAACTGAGCAGTGATTCCTGGAATGTGCCAGTAACAATCGCCTAATGAACAAATGCAACCAGAAAGAAGGAAGAGGCACCCCCAGGCTAGCCTTCTCTCATAATTATTCTTATTTGAACACCTTTTATAAATAAGTATAGAGAACGTTTGTACAACAAAAAAGAAAACAACTTTGTATAAGGAAAATAAAAAACCCAGATAAATTAACAGTATTTTCAACATACTATATATAAAACAGTGTGTTTCTCAACCTTGGTAACTTTAAGAAGATGGACTTAAACTCCCATAATTCCTGACCCCATTCTGGTGGGGGCATTCTGGGAGTTGAAGTTCACCCGTCGTAAAGTTGCCAAGACTGAAAAACACCAATGTAAAATATGTGCAATGGCCATAATTCAAGCCTATGCAGGTTCTGCTGATATTCATTGATTTTAAAGATTTAATGTGCTACACTAAATGACAATATTGTTTTTAGAAACAAAGTATGTATTAGATTTGTTGTTGAAAAAGGGCTGCATATATTTAAAAGATTAGATGCATGCTATGAAGATGCATCATTATATTCTTTGGATATTTTGTATTTAGAAAGGAAAATTTTGAAAACCATTATCCCTCTAGATAGATAGATAGATAGATAGATAGATAGATAGATAGATAGATAG